CTTGAGTGCTCTCTTTAATGGTGAATAAGAATTTTGTTAAAGTTTTTAAATTTAATTGTGTTAAATTTGGCAAATTAAGTATTGCTTCTACATGTTTATCAGCGATAACTCTCTTGTTTTCATAGCGTTCTGTTAATAAATTGTAAGCAACTTGATAGTTCTCACTAGATATTACTAAATGCTTTACCAAAGAGAGTGGTTCCTTATCCAAAACACTCAATAAATAGTGTAACTTTTGAACAGAACTTAAACTATCATTATTATGAATTAGACTGTTGAAAATTGAGATGAAGTTTGGCCACTCTACGCTCACACCTGAGTACCTATTTAGAGATATCTTGGGAAGCTGAAAGGCAGGTTCAGATTTAGATGATGAGTGTTGAAAACCACTGGCATTGTCACTCTTTGTTTGTATTGAACTATGCAAAACTTGAACAGAATAAAACATATCCATAAAAGTTGAATATCTGTTTTCCAACTCCTCACGAGATTTGTCACTTACAGACTCAGTACTAGACATAAGAATAGCAAAAGCCTCCTCGAATTGTTGCCTAAACCTTTCAATATCCTTAAATCGTACCATGAAACCAACTTGCTCTTGTGAAGTTAAGTTTGGATTTTGGCTAAGTTTACCTGCAAGTTCATACACATTTCGCATGTTTTTGTAACTCAGATCGCAGTTTGTGGCATACGCTTTAATATTTGCCATCGTATTTTGATGTTATTTAACCAAAATAATGTAATATTTTCCTAAATGATATACGAAAATTAAAATGTAAACAAAAGTTAAACTAACAATTTGATTGAATGAATTAATACTGACGGGTTATGATTGACAACTTACTGTTCTGTGTTGCCAACAATGAGTTATGATTTTTGCTTAAAGCTTTATTGACAGCCAATGAATGATACTGATTTGATGGAATGAATGACAAGGTGAAATATGAGCAAAATGGCTGATATGTACGGCGGTTGATATGACAATGAAAAATGACTTGCAATACTTGATGAAATTATGAGATGAATATGATAATCAGATGATTATGAAATATGATTTATTTATGGGTTTTGAGATGAATGATGGTGATCTGGACGAAGGACCATGAAGAATGTTGGGTAAAAAAGGGAAACTAAGGACCAACCTGGTTCGTGTCGTCCCCGCGTGCAGGTCTTAATATACGCGTAGCCGTTTCACTTTAAAAACGCACAACACTACGATGAATTTCACTGGATGATGTACTAATCAGATGATTGCGCGAAGATCGCGGCTGATGGTTCCGTTAACGTTGATTCGCGGAGAATATGTTGATTTGCGTGTGCTCGACGCGACGTACAACGAACGACTCATTTTGTTGATGCTACCCCCAGATTTGGTGGATAAAAATAGGAGTAGGATTTAGGGTAGTAACATATTGCAAGTTGGCTAGAAATTAGTAGATTTATATCAACCAGTTAGCATATCGCTTTCTGAAGGTCGCTGTTCGATTTCTCACACGGTACAGACATTTGTATTCATGTCATATTGTTTGTTATTAAGATTGCATAAAAAATATATTTCTTCAATAAGTCGTAATTGAAATATATATAACTCAAAGGTGACTGACATAGTGATCTATCAACGCACAAACCAAACCACCGGATGGATCGGACTGAAATTTGGCATGCAGGTGGATGTATGATGTAGGCATCCGCTAAGAAAGGATTTTGATAAATTCTACCCCTAAGGGGATAAAATAGGGGATGAAAGTTTGTATGAAACTTTGTCAATTTTATACCGATCGGGCTGAGACTTTGCATGCATAAATCTACTATGACGTAGGCATCCCCTAAGAAAGGGTTTTGATGAGTTTCCACCGCTAAGAGGATAAATTAACGCGAGCGAAGCTGCGGGTAAAAGCTAGTATCTCATAAAATGTGCCTTACTGCAACTTTTTTTTACAATTCCAACTAACCAAGTTCCTACGGTTTAGCCATGCCTACCGTTCAGTTGATTTATGAGCTTATAGTTGAAATAACTGAACTAGTATGAGGATCACGTAATGGAATACATGACAAATGGGCTCAGGGAGAATTTCTTGCCTCTATATATATAATAAAACCGCAACGAAGTCAATATTGTACTTTAAATAATATATAAAAATTATTTAAAGTACAATATTGACATTTAAAATATCTTTATTAATGTAGGTCCATTAGAGATACTAATGACAAGTTTAATTAATCTATGGTGTATATATATTTAACAGTGTAATAATTACACTATCACTTAATGGATACACTAACGTAATAGCTAATACATCGAGGAACAAATCTTAAGCCTAATCTTACATAACAAAGACAATAAACAAAATAAATAAACTTCTGGCAAATAATAATATTAGGTATTGCCTCTACCTCTGATTTAAACAGAAATTTATGCGTTTTGAAATTTTTCTCTCAGCCTGAAGGTTATATATATATATGATTCAAAGTTTAAAAAATGTTTAATCATTTAGCACCTTTTTGCTTCTTATACAATTCATTTTTTTATTCTAACCGTACCGCGTCTAGTTCTGCTAGCAACTTCAGTTTAGTAGAACTGGCAAGAATATCATCTGGTGCATTTTTTATGCTATCGTTACTTTTTAAACACTTTTAATATATAACAATACCATGAGTAAGGGAAACAGTATTTCAGTTTAAATAAAAAAAAAATAAGTCAGCGTAACAGCATTTAAATAGAATATATGTCAAACACATTTAAAATTAGCTGTATCCGGCAGTTGCTCGCGTGAAATTGGGTAAAAAGTATCCTATGTATTAAACTCGAATATGATTTATCTGTGTGCCAAAATACTTTCGAATTTATCCATTACTTTTTGCGAGAAAGTGTCACAAACATCCATCTATCTATTCTCGCAAACTTTCTCATTACATTAATACGATTTGATGGTAATTTCATAATATTTATACATATAAATGTTAATCCCTTTATCGCTTAGTCACGCTAGAACTTGAGAACGACTTAACGATTTTTTTATTTTATTTTTGTGTTCTAATACTTTGTAGAAGGTTCTTATGGATGGAAATATTAAGAATTACCAACTGCTTATGCTTTTATGATTTATGTATTTTTATGATTCATGTTATTATGTATTATTATTATTATTTATTTATTATTACTTGTAATTATAGTTCTGAAACAAAACAGTAAAACGTTAATCTCATTTTGCGACGTTATACTTCCTACATATATATATTCACAGTGCTATATATTCGACCAGCGGCCCTTCTCAGATTCGTACAGATGCTTTACAAATCTTTGAATTTCTAGGCTTGTTCTATGCTATAACACATTTGTATTATACATATAAACCATCCTCTTGAATCGCTCTATAATCTACACTTTAAAAGACATAAGCGAACAGAGAGCGGTGGCGACTTTGTCTTATACTATGTAAAGATTTAGAAACTACTAATGTTATTGAATGACCAGACAACGATAATACTTTGTACGGAGATATGAGACTTTTAGTCTTCAGTAATATCAACGCTAGTGGGGTACTATAGGCGTCACATTATAACGTGATCTCCGTAATGCTGTTCATGCAGTTTTATAAAAGCAATAGTTATTCTGTAGCTCTGGCTTTGTGTATGTATATTTATGTGTGTAGTATGTATTATATGTATACATGCTGCCAAATTAATTTAATCTTTGCTATTTGTCATACATGCTACTGTCAGTAATATTTGCTAAATAAATGTGTTTTATTATTCTTATTATGATCAATTTCTATTATGTGGATCGTCAAGTTGTTATTTTGTTAGAGTTATAATGGAAAGCAAGCTGACTACCTACATGATGGCAAGAGGTAACTGTCGCCTATATTATGTATATGAACAGCACTACAGACATCATGTTATCATATCACACCAGTTATATGACTCATCCGTTGCCATTCTAAAAGACGATCTTTAAAACTTTCAAAAATAAGTTATATTAATAAAATAAGGGATTCGTTTTATCAATTTAATTATAAACTCTACTAATGTAAGGCGTGGATGAAAATGTCTATGAAATGACTAAAAATGGTCACATTTACAAATAATTAAGATTGATGTGAGGGAACAATGACCGCGCTGTTTAGATACGCATTAGCGATGAATTTATTAATTTACTATACTAGGTGTTGCCCGTGACGTGGTGTGGTTCGTGAAAATGTTTAAATTCCATCTCGGCGGATGTTTATGTCATAAAAGAAAACTATTACTATACTATACATTTACATCAAAAATTTAATTATATATATGTATTTTAACATAAAGAAGAATTTATGAGTAAACGACCAATATATCCATTTTATTATACTTGTTGGCCTTAAGACTTGCTAACTACATAGAACATAAGAATTCCTTACCTTGTTTAAAATTCGATTATATATGGCTAAGTAAGTAAGTAAATATATTTATAACAACCCAGTACAATTGAAACAGCTACGTTTAGTCCTAAAATAAGGACAGCTTATTTATTATATACCTTGGGTACTAAACTAGAGAACTTGGAAAATATACAACTAGATCTTATTTAAATATATGGAAATAACTTAGACAAAGAATTGTAGTGCGACCATCAGAAGTTAGGCGGAGTGTTAAACCGTTGGACTACCGAGGCCGTCAAAATTAAGTACATACAGACATTTGAAAATATAAATTTGAGTGAACGAAATGATGATGAGACATTATAAAATATAAAACAAAATTAAATATAATAAGTAAGTAAATAGGTATCACAATAAAAAATGTGAAATTGTGGTGTATATTGACTATTATTAAAATAATTATAGTTATTTTGAATTTTTTTGTCTTACTAACTACTTACTTTCTTATTATATTTCATTTTCACAGCGACCCGATTAGCAGAATAAGTAATAAAAAAAAACTTAAAAAAAAAACAAAGAACCGACTGTTAGGCCGTACGAAGTTCGCCAGGTCAGCTAGTATAAAATAAAAAAAACACTCACCGAAAGTTGTCTTTTAACAGCTGGTGGTGTCGATGCCGGCTTGACTGGGTATCTGCTGTAGCTGCCGTTGGAGCTATTTGGCTGTGATGATGACCTCCCCATGGACCTCGGCAGGGTCTGAGACTTCATGAGCGGTCCGCCCACACCGCTGGGCACTCTCCGCCCAGCTGTGGTCAGCTTTCGACCCGCAACTGTTTAGAATATCAATAATAATACCCCTGGACAATTCACACAACATCACCTATCCCCCAGGGAAGCAAAGCTTCTGTTATGTCTACAAGACAACTGATATAAATACTCAATTAATATTTTTATTTGTAAATGCATACATAATATACATAGACAACACCCAGACCGATACAAACAATCATACTCATGAATACAAATGTTTGTACTGTCCGAAGATTCGAACCCGCGACCATCGGTGTGATATACCGCTAAACCACCGAATAATCTAAAATAAATTTAATTTTAAATTATTTTCAAGTTATATCTTTTATTCGGTATGGAGTTTCAACTAAGATTGATCAAGAACCTTGCGGCGTTTAAATGCAAATATTTCACTACTTTATGTTTTTAAATAGAAGCAATAGTAATGTACTCAACGTTTAAAAAATTATGTTGTGTCATTTTCTCTCCAATTAATAATATAGAACGAAAGAAAGCAAGAGTTGACATCTGGACCTAAGAGTAAGCTGGTGGCTTGCATATTTTAGTACCTATTGCAGTGTTTTTATCGTAAGTCTAGACATAACGATTTAGCTATCCAAGGTATCAACGGACTAAGAATAAAAATGAGTTCTACATTATTTATGTCTTTCTATTCTACAGACATGACATTTGTGTCCTCATCTTAATCTTAATAATAATATTATAAACGCAAAACTTTGTAAGTATGGATGTTTGTTACTCTTTCACGCAAAAACTATTGAACGGATTCTGATGAAACTTTACAGTAATATAGCTGATGCCTCAGAATAATATATAGGCTATATTTATGTATATTAGTTAGTACTTTATGTATTTTGCCTTTGTTAGGAAACATGCACCCATTATCTCCATTTTAAATATTATTATACACCCATATGTGCAAGTAGCTGTTACTAGCAACTTTATTTGCCTAAACTTTCATGCCCTATTTCACCCATATCTAGATTACTTTTAGATATACCTAAACGAGATCGAATATCCAATCTCATAATAAGATCATCACATCAAACCTGTTGTAATACTAGAGTTCAGAGGGAAGGGGATTGTCAGTAATGTGGACTAATAATCCTATTGCCATGTAAGGTTTTTTTTATGGATGATTATGAAATGATGCACCCGCCTGTGCTAAAGGTTTACGGCGGGGCACTAGTGGAGAATGACAAGATGAGCATGAGGTCAGGTTAGTTGTCCCACAGTGACAAGTTCATCAGGAATTTATTAAGATAGTTTCCAGTGGGAACCGCGTGGAGGTCAACCTGCCAGTAGTAGGGGGTATGGCAGGTTGACCTCCACGGGGTTCCCCCAGGAAAGCATTGTGATATCGTAATATTTTTTTGTTATTATGGGTGATTTTACTATACTGGGCAAACTGAAGTCATCCCACATAACTTGTGCCCTGCCAGCGTAAACCATTTGTACAAGCAACTGCACCATTACATTATAACCCATTAAAAAAATTGTAGAAATGAAACGTCATAATGTCACAAAATCTAAGACGTTTCCGGTGAAGGATGTCACACTTTGTCTCTCTCCCCCCCCCCCCCCCTACCTCCTCCCACAAAATGTTAAGTCTCCGTAAATTATGAATGGCCCCTTATGGTGACAACCGATGAACCATAACATTAGGGGATACGAATGAATGGGGAAAAAAGGTGAAAATGTAATATGGTAAACATTGTATATAGTGGACTCGTCCATTGGAGCATATATGGGTGTGTACACATGCCTGACTGCGTCTAAGTTCCTACCTATAATTTACTATGTAATCTTCACGCCAAGTTCATTACAGGGTAGGTAGAGTATTTAAATTATTATGACAGACCCATATTTCGAGTAATGATATGATGTTGTTGGATGAGACGATGTATATTACAGATAGACTGACAAAATGTACATAAAAATATTGATCTTATATACTAAATAAATAAGAATAAGAACATGTAAGGTGGGACATAGTTTAGACACGGCAGTGCTTAATAGACAATATTGAATTTGTCTTACTAGCTATGACTAATTACAATTATTAGATTGATGTATGGGACACATTTACCTACTACTGTGTCTCATAACCCATTCCAACTAAATACTGGGGAGAGAGGATTGTTAGTAAGTAATGTAGACTAATGATCCCATAGCTAGCTATGTACCACATCAGGTTGACCTCAACTCGGTTCCCTCTGGAAACCATCGTGATGAGTTCCTGGTAAATTTGTCATGGTGAGGTTATATTTCACTGGTGTCCCGCAAGCTTAAACCGTTAGCACCAATCAATTATATCAATTAAAAAAAAAACATGTTGATTGATATACATATTCTATACCAATATTGTACAAAACTTAAGGTATTTATAATATGGACCATTAGTAGCCTGAATTAAATAAATATATAAAATAGAAATGCAAAATTATATCTGTTTATCAGTCCGTCTGTCTGTTTATTAACTTTTTACGAGTAAACAGTATAATAATGAAATTCGGCGTGAAGATAAGTTATAATATGAGTCGAAACAGAATTATAAATTTAGTATTATAGGCAAAACATCGTGTACCATAAATACAGTAGAATTACTATTTACAGGGAACCTCTCACATTTCTCAGCAGTCGGTTGAAAATAATAAAGCGACGACACTGTGATCGCGGACCGAACAATAATCTTTTGTGATATTAAAGGAAACAAGCGATCAATGTTTCTGATTGTAGTACAGTCTATAAAGAGGCGCCATTTTGAAAAAGTTTCCATAAATAGCATTTATATTCTTAGTAGATTAATAAATTCAAATTCATTAGGTAATGAAATTCTGGGAACGAAAAACAATGAATAAAACGTCAACATGCAAGCGTGAATGTAAAGGTGGAGTTAGAACAAACGCAACAATACTCATTCTTTATTTATTGTGTTTATTATTGTTGTGTCAACTTATGACTGCATCTATTTATTAATTCCCTGATTACTTTAGTGAACAGTCAGCGGTCGATCATCAAATCGTACAAATCCATACAAAAATTGAAGGAGTTTTAAATTTTATGAACATAATGAAAATTTGTTTAGTAGTTTTTGTGATTATCGTAAACATAGAGACAGACGCGGGGGTCTTTGTAGGTATTGTTCTAAGTGTAAGCTAATAAGCTTATACTTAGAACATTATCGCAAATATTTGGCTATGGTAATCTGTTCATTATTCCTTCATATCACTAGATTTGAACTTAAAGTATATTCATCAGCTACAACACAACTACTATACATTTGTCGTTTTAGTCTAACTCCACCTTAGCAGATTGCAATCATGAGCAGGGGGTAAATAAAAATTTCTGCATGCTTACTTAGTAATAAAAATGTGTCGTGTGCAAGCTAAAATTGAGTTAGCACAGTGAACCCACAACAAACATTAATTAAAAAAAAACATAATTCCAATGACTTGTAATGTTATTGTATGTATGTGTATACTCTTATATAAATAGATCGGTTATCATATAAAAATAGGGATGTATTTTAGTCAGTTTAGTTCGTTGCAGTAGGTTACGTCAAACGAAGCTAAAGCAAGATTCGTAGTCTCTACCTTCGGTCGATGGCTTCGTTTGACCACTGTTACTTTCTGTGTGAGCGAGCAACGTCGTCTTCGACTTCTCTAAGGGCCTGCGCACCTTTAGAGACTCCGGTTTTTTTTCGCTTCGCTCTGGTTCACTCTCTACGCCCAACTTACTGAGGGCGACTAGGTTCGCTACATTGAGGATAATATCGTGTTAGGCACATTGTAATAGTATATCGATATGTATAAAATAAAAAAAATAAGCTTAGCATGCGACATACAGCCACCTTTCAGTATTTACTTTAACTATATAGCAGTGGCGTTTAGATACAGTGGGGAATCGATTATTCGGACTTTAGGTATACGGATTGGCTATCTAGATTGTCAATCGCAAACGAATGTTACATGTCTTTGATTGTATCTTTGGATACGATTATCTACTACATCTACAGTAATGAAATAAATAATAAATATTGCTTATACTTTTTTTATTAAAGGCTATTACTCGTTGCTAAAGAGACCTGTAGTACTGTATCTGCACAGATATATTGTGCTCGTCCTTTTTTTAGAGTTTACTGCCTAGTCCCGTCAGGAACAAGAATTGAATAGGTATAATTATATATTTATTATAATTATTAATATATTCTAAGGAATGATGACTTATTCCTCAGGATAGTGTGTGTACTTTCCAAAGGAGATTTAGAGAGTATTTAATTCACCAGGGCTTTCCAACCAGGGAAGCGTGTGGGGTACATGGAGTGAGTTAATGGCTCTTGTTTCCAATAACAAATTTCCAAGAAGCATAGAATATTAGCTATGAGCCGGGAAGGCTTAATAAAAGGTGTATGTAAATAATTTACGTTTATAGTCTAGTAATTTATATAGAAAAAATGTCACTCTTATTTTATCTGTTTTTCTTCTATACTACCTTTTTCTCTATCCTTTTTATCTATACGTACCTTTAGAGACTATTTCTTTCTAAAAACCGTCGTTCTAAAATTATATTTACTAGCATATAAATAATACAATCCCTTAGATCACAACACGCATGACAAATTATATTTCTAGACTTAATAACATAATATATTTATTCATCAGGATCTATAATACAAATATACAAACAATAAGTCCGATTAATCGAATCTCCACTATCTCTTATCAATCTTAAAGGCGTTATCATACCAAGGAAGTGGAGTCTGTCTTTCGCCATCCCGAGGTTCGTCTTCATCTTGTCATGGAGTCTCTGTGCCCGCTGCCAGGCGTCTCCACGGCCTCCCCAGCAGTCTACGGCGATGCCTCGTTCTAACTCGTATATACCTTTTTTGTACAACTCTATTGCTAACTCTTTCTGACCTGTTTGAAAGGAGTTAAAGCATTATCGTCTTTATAATTATTATTACATATACTAAAGTCCAAGGCGAAAACTGTTTGTATATTTGTTATACTTTCACGTAAAAACGGCGATAATTACGACGTCATTTTCACAAGGATTGCTGCTAATGTGAGTCAATATATAGGCTAATGAAATCTTTAGAAAGATACCGCAAAATAAAGAAATTACGAATTTTGTTTTTTAATTTTAACAAAATTCGTAATTTCTTTTTCATTTATTATATTATTAAAGTACCAATAGTAGATGGAATCTACTATTGGCACTTTAATAATATAATAAACTGGAGCGTGGAAAAAATATAATAATAATAAAAAGCCTGGACAATTCACACAGCGCCATGTAGTCCCAAGCTAAGCAGACCTTGTACCGTTGGTACTAGACCACTGATATAAACATATATAATATATACAGAAAACATCCAGCCCAATACAATTATTCTCATGAATACAATGAATATAATATTTGTACTGTGCGAGGAATCGAACCCGCGACCATATATATATCACTACGCCTTACTTCATATCGGATATATTCTTATCGGTCGCAGGTTCCAATCATCTTACAGTTTGTATTCATTTGTATTCTGAGAATGATTGATATATAAGTATTAGATTTTGAAATGTGACGTCACCAAATTTGAACGCCTCCTACCCCTTGTCAAACTTCGCGACCCCTTTGCTTCCCTTAAACGTGTGACGTAATCAATGTATTGCCTCTTATATATTAATCAACTGTCTATTTAGACATTAGCGATCTCAGTCTGAGATTTTGAACACGTCATTGGGGCGTTGACTTGGACTGGTTTGATGACGCGACTTACTAATTCAGGACTTACGAACGTCCAGAATTAGTGGGCCGCGTCAATCTTATATCTATCTAGATTTCTAGATCATGAGCCTAGATCTACAAGTAATATATAAATATGCGAGACTAACTGTTACCCGCAAGTTTATTTGCTGTTTTTGAATATTTAGAAAGATAGTCTATCTTAGTAGATGGTCATGCCACATTTAATTAAGTTCATTCCAACCATTTAGTCGTGAAAAGACAAATACATATATATTCTTTTGAATTTATAATACCGGGATTTCACGCGACTTCGTCCGTTACTTAGATAAAATATAACGTATTTTTAAACACGTGTTATAATTATCGCCACACAATTTGCAATTATGATCTATTTAATTGTTTTCCTAAAAAGGTATAAACAGACAGATAGTTGGACACATTTGAATCCTTATTAATATTATACATGGGAATGTAACTCTGTCGGTCTGTCGCGCTTTCACGCCAAATTTGCTGAATCGATTTATATTAAATTTGGCACACAGATAGCCTAAACACTGAGAAAAGACATAGGCTACTTTTTATTGCAAAAATAGGGTTGTAAGGCTTGAAAGGAGGGATGAAAACTTGTATGGAAATATTGTCATTTTTAGGTTGTTGATTAAATATAAATAAATATGATATTCAAAGTTTCTAAAAGTTGTATCCTTTATGGGGTAAAATAAATTGCTATTCATAGTCACTATTCCATGCAGACAAAGTCGCGGACACAGCTATTTTATAATATTAGTATTGTTACACATTAATTACTGTACAGTCTAGAACATTTAAAACATTTTCTTTCAATACTAACTACACGGAATAATAAGTTAAAACTCCTTTTCGATTCAAATCAAGATAAACTAAAAAGTACACATTGTATTTTAGTGACATTACTCATTCAAGTTTTCAACTATACATATATAAAATGGAGGGTGAGGGACTATGAGTCACCTTCATTCTCACTGTGTTGTTAACCCCAGTTTCAAATACATGTTTTTTTAAAGTAATAAACATGCAATCAACCTTATCTTCTACTTTGATATATTTACATGTATATACTGCAATCATCGCCTGTTCAATCGTCATGTTTCAAATAATATAATTTAGTACATTATCATGACTTGGGTTAGATTTATGAATCTCATCTGATTGAGTGCTAATATAGACCAGCTTAGCACAACTGGTTTTCCTCGATGACGGCTGACACCAAATAACAAACTAGGTTTTCAGGTATCCATGTGATAGTTAATATAGTAATTTAAATTACTTTTTTCAGTAGAGGTGTGCAAAGACTACAAATGACTGTTACCATAACAAAAAAATCTGTAAAGTGTATAGTACACTTATTAAGTATTTAAATTATAATAGTATTAAGTATCTAAATTATATTACTAAAATATTACTGTACACTAACATAAAACACAAAATATATATTCATAAAAAACTAAGTATTAATAAATATATCTGAATTTGAAATTGTGGTTACAATATTTTCATGTTTTTATCATGTGTTTGTATTAATAAATGTTTACAATATTTCCATTATTGTATGAGATACCATAATAATATGTACTTTGTAATTCTAGATTCAATATAATGATTAAAAAATACAAATTGTTCACACTCACACTTTCATATTTTGAATTATTTCATGAGTACTATTTATTTTAATACAATATTTAAATTTAATTTCCATTTTTATATTATTACCATTATACCATGGAATTTGAAGTACATAGATTATAATATGATATATTATTTATCTTTTTATTAATTAAATTTATTTATAATATAGATGAAGTCATTATAAAATTAAAAGGAGAGAAATAAATTATAACTAAACAATAAAACAGACTATTATAATATATTAAGTCATGAAACTTTCATTATCATAAATACAAACTGTTACAAGAAATATAAAATCTTGTCTACACAATGATCAGTAACAAAAAAACAAGTTTTGTAGTAAGATAGTGAAAGTGTGGGTGCTGCTTCATTAAAAAAACGTACAAGTAACAACTATGATACTTACATATACATAGAAGATGAATAAAACATTATAACTTAAACATTTTATACACATTTAAATAATATATTTATTAACTATTTTTTTATCAACAGGTGAAATGCTGATTGGAAATATATATATAGATAGTAAAATTATAAAAAATATATGTCCACTTTCCTTAAACTGAATTATTATTTAATTTTATTAGATTTGTTCTATTTTATGCAAAATAGTATCATCAATAATAATCATACCTTCATTTTCTTCATCAATCTTGAGAGCTTTTGAAATGTACTCAAAAGCTTTCCGATGGTGATGCTTCTGTTTTGCCAGGAGAGGGTCACCTGGCCCTACATTGTGTATGTGAGACATCTCTTCACTGTGGAGCACCTCAGTGGACACCACTCCGTCCTTCACCACAACTTCTAAGTTACACTCGCCGTTTTTACGAGGCTTGTGCATTAAACGGTGCGACGCCGAATATAAATATTTAAAAATTATGAATAACTGATACAAAATAGATCTGAGTACATTGAACAAAATTATTATTGGGAAAGAAACAACGTAAAGATTCCTTTTATGAAATGAAGGTTGCGTATCATTTCGCAACGCTGCCTCTTTCGCTAGGTCTGCATCTGTTTTCTTGCATTTGCGATTTGGAGATCTTGCAGTTTTACGTGATAATCGACCACCATTGGAATCATCACCCGAAACCATCAAGAACACTGACACCAAATATCTCAATACAAAAATCCCATACGCTTTTAAGTAAACAAAGAAACGTACGATTAATCTATCCACTATTGTAACAATAACAGAAATACAGATAGCTGATAGCAATCAAAGCAAAAAAATAATAATGTTCACTCGTTGCTTGTGTTTGTGTCAAATTGACAGTCTGAATGACATTTATTTAATCTCGATCACAGAGTACTTTGTATGTCAATTATTGACGTTGCATCGATTTTATAGCAATTGACTTTGAGATATAGGCCTAAATTATAAATTTAAATTAGACTACTTACTTATTTAAAAACATCGAAACCTGTTGATAAGACATACTGTCTCTTTCGCATAGTTTACCAGTATGTCAATTTAATTTACATGAATATAAATGGGGTAAAGACTATGGGGAAAGAATGATATGTACTCTTAAAATAAGAGTACATATCATTCTTATTTTTATTCTTATAAGTAGATTTTTTTTACATTTTGCAATCATATAGATATAATTTTATACTATTTTTAATTTATTTGCCTAATTTTATGTACGTTACTAACATGCAGTTATTTATTATTATTCGAAAATCAAAGAACACTTGAAAAAAATTGCTCTGTGTTTGTATCGAAATATTCCATGTTCTAAAATGACATTACCTATAAAACGCTTTTGACATCTTAATTGACAGATATTCTATACTAATGTCATTTTTCTATCTATACCTATTTCTTTCTTTTATATCAAGAATAAAAGAGCCACAAATAATACACGGTTTTTTTATATCAATTAGTTTTGTTTCTGAGTATTCTGATTCATTTCTAAAATGTGTTGTCGTGTTGATGCGGCTGACAGAACAAAAATGTGTATTGAATTTTATTGAAACCGATGGTGACATATTTGTAAAAGAATTGCATCATTCTTCGTTATAATAAAATCGTTAGCAACTTACGGTTTGTTATCCATATTTAACAGAGAATAATATCACGTACCCAGTTAGTATAGTGAAAATATTACATATACTAAAATCTAACCTCTAAGAATAAAATAATTAAAAATTACTGGGATTGTATATGGCGAATTGAATATTTAACATGTTTTTAGACATTTGCTAATTTTAAACTTGGTTTTGGCCTTTGTATAAATTCTTTTATTGAATTTACAATGCATTTTTTACTGAACATATGTTAAAAAAATAGCAGAATATTATGTTTTTTTTTTAGAAAATGACGGAACCACAGATAGAAGCATTGACTATAAACGATGAAGAGGATGTTGTTGATCCATGGAATGTAACAGGAAAATCTGAAACTGGAATAGATTATGACAAGCTGATTAGTAAGTGTGACCAATTTAAATTATATGCTGATGGTGTCTAAAAACTTGTGTAAAAATATTTTAAATTGTGAATAATCATCTGATATATAATTGTTAAAATATAGTATTTATTTTTCTTATAATTAAGTTAGTATAATATTTTTATATTGTAACCCATATGGTTACATAGATTTAAATAAACATTTTTTTTTAATTTGTGTCAGTATTCCTTTTTCAAAATTATTGTAAACTTTACACATCCCTCTGTTGTAGAATTATGGAATTATATTATAATTATTAAATCATTGTTTTAAAATTGGATCAGTAATAGACTTACCTATTGGACCTAAAAATACTTAATATTGTAGAATTGTCTTCTATGCAAGTTTTAAACAATATTTTTCTGTATTTTAGAAAGATTTGGAAGCCAGAAAATAGATGAAAGTCTTATACAAAGGTTTGAGACTGTCACTGGAAAGAGAGGTATTATTTTACTTTCTACTACAATTAATATTCTTAACAATAAAAATAAAAATTCCATTTTAATATATTAATATTATAGGACCATTGCAAATCTAATTGTAAAAAAAGGTGCTTTTAATGAAAAATTAAATCACATGTAGGAAATTCTATTTATTTGTTACTTATTACTTACCAATTTTGTTATGTTTGAAATAAGTTGAAATATCCCACATAAGTTTATTGTGTAATATTTTAAATTATAAATAAATTTCAAATGGAAATTAAATTATAAATTTTTCTATTTTATGTTTAACTGCACCCGCAACTTTGTCCGTGTGTAATATAACTTTATTTTTCTAAAATAAAAGTATCCTAAGTTACTACTTATCACATCAGTTATCTGTTAAAAAAAAGTCCCATCAGAACCAGCCCAGCCATTTCAGAGATTATCCGGAACAAATAGTCAGACAGACAAAAATTAAAAAAAATGTTATTTTGGTGTATGTACCATATTTATATTCATATGCATATAGTTAAAAATTTCAATATTACAAATATACACTCCAATTTTATATAGATTCATGAACACCATGGTGTCTTGATACCATGTCTTTACCAGCTTGACTATATTTTCTATAATTTGGGTTTCAGTGGATATTAAAATGAAAATTTTAATCAAATTTTCAAAGTTTCTTCTGTATAGAATAAAATTTAAATTACTTTTAAACTACTTGTAAGTTATTGTTTACTAAATTGAACATTTCTTTTAGCACATCATTTCTTACGGCGCGGCATATTCTTCTCTCACCGTGATTTCCATAATATCCTCTCTCTCTATGAGAAAGGTGAAAAGTTTTACCTTTACACTGGCAGGGGGCCATCTTCTGAAAGTATGCATATAGGACATATGATACCTTTTATGTTCACCAAGTAAGTATACACCTGCCAATTTCATTTGATGTAATAATAATACTATCTGGTGCTAATCTAAGCAAAGCTTGTCTTACTACATAAGTGATATAAATACATTGATATGCTATTTTTTGTAAACACATATATAATATACATGAAAACACCCAGACTGATATAAATCATACTCATATATACAAACACTTGTATACATGAGTATTTATGTTTACTATACATGAGTATGAGTTGTACCAGATAAATCATACTCATGTATACAAATGTTTGTACCTAGCAAGGATTTGAACCCGCAACTGTAGTAAGTAATGTGGTGTGGTAATTTGCTTTTTATTAATATAATTATTATTAAAATAATTTCAATAATCTATATCACTTTGGAATATTATAGTGCAGTAGTTATTTTCCTCAAAATAAAATACACTCTGCCTGTTTCTTTATAATATTGATGTATATATATAATATAAAAGTTTTAAATTAATAATCTAAAAATATATAAAGTTAGCTTTCTTTTTCTTATATAAATAATCTAGATGTGTATATCATATCTAAAGGGAAAATAATGACTTATTTACTTGTTTAAGTATATCTAAATGTATATTTTAATATATACTTAAGTGTTAATCTTGATTATCTATCTATCTATCTATTATAGAATGTTTATTAATTTGATTACTTCTTGAGAAATATCTCTTATCTCTATTAGATAAATGTCCTCATAATAATATTTACAAATCAACATTAAAGATATATTAATAATCTCAGATCAAATCACACAGCGCCATCTAGACTCAACTTTAGCTAGATAAAGCTTGTGTTATTGTTACTAGATAACTGATACAATTACATAGATATATGTTTTTCGTTCATACATACATATTACACATAGAAAACACCCAGACTGACACAACCATACTCATGAATACAAATGTTTGTGTTGTGCGAGGAATCAAACCAGCGACAATCCGAAGTAACTGTGTGTAACTAAACCGCAAGACTACTGAGGCTGTTATTATAGGATTTAAAATTCTATTTGTAGTATCTTCTATCTATAGTAACTAAATTTCATCATTCACTCTATTTACAGGTGGCTGCAAGACGTTTTTAATGTACCTCTGATCATTCAACTGACAGATGACGAGAAAGTATTGTGGAGGGATATTAAAGTTGAAGATGCTCGCCAGATGGCGTTCAACAATGCTAAAGATATTATAGCTGTTGGTTTTGACCCAAAGAACACATTTATATTCAATGATCTGGATTTTATTGGGTATGTAATGAAGTAATTGGAACCCTAATCTACTGTTAATACAAATCAAATTCCTATTTAGTAAATGTTCGTATTTTGTTTGGCAAATGGCAATTTACCGCGATGGATTCCAGGGGCAACCGCATGGAGATCAACCTAACATAATGGGGAACGATAACCCCATCACTAACATGGGAAAGGGGATTGTTAGTAATCCCCTTTCATGGGAAAGTGGATTGATGATCTTATTGCTAGCAATGTACCATGTTAACTCTACGCGGTTCCTTCTGGAAACTATCTGGTGATATCTTGGTGAATTTGTCACAATAGGATAACTGACCTGACCTCATGCTCATCTTATCATTCTCCACTGGTGCCCCGCCACGTTACCGTTAGCGCAGGCGAGGTCATTATTTCATTATCATCCATTAAAAAAAATCCCTTCCCCTCTTTTGGATAAAGTAAATGTTTTTTTTTTAGGCAATGCCCGGCGTTTTACCAGAACATGGTAAGGATACAGAAGAGCGTCACATTTAATCAGGCCAAGGGTATCTTCGGCTTCGGCGACTCTGACGTCATTGGCAAGGTGTCTTTCCCGGCGATAGAAGCTGCGCCAGCGTTCTCTACATCTTTCCCTTTCATATTTGGAAACAAAGTTGTAAGTTGTTGTAAACTTTTAAATATTCTTAATGAGGTTGTACAGAAGGCGCGCATTACAGCCACTATAGCAGTATATTACGACCCCGGTAATCTGGCGGTTTTTACCTCCCATTGACTCGGGTTCAATTCCTTCTACAATGCTATTTGTGTAACATTTGTATTCATTAGTATGATTGTTTATTTTAGTATGGGTGTTTCAATTCAATTGCATTTAATTTATATACTGTAAATATAGTATGTATTATTATTATATATTTACAAAAAAATCCTGTTAGTTCCTTAGTATCCATAACTAGATGGCACTGTGTGACTGTCAAGGACTTTTATTGTTGTCTTCCCTCTCAACTAATATACTATTGCAGTTGCATATATAAATATATATGTATTATATATACATATAAATATATGCTATGCTATATATATTGGTATACTACACTTATTAATTTGCCTATTACAGCTACCAAGCCTGGTGCCGTGTGCGATCGACCAAGATCCCTACTTCCGTATGTCACGTGACGTGGCAGCCCGCCTCAAGATGCCGAAGCCCTCTCTTTTACATTCCACGTTTCTGCCGGCACTCCAGGGCGCCCAGCAAAAGATGTCGGCGAGTGACCCCAACGCGTCGATATTTTTAAATGATACCCCCAAGCAGATTAAGAATAAGGTACGATATATTCATCTAAACGTGATCTTCTAATCTGTAGTATTACATGTACAGACTTATTTGAAAAGAACAAGTGCTGTTCTGACTCGAAAGTTAATTCCGAACTGACGATATATTCGACTTATAAGTCTGTAATAGACTACACATTTTTAAAGGTATTTTGTTAGATTAGATTCACGGTAATTTGATTGAATGAAAATTGTTTTGTTCCAGATTAATAAATACGCGTTCTCTGGCGGCCAGGCAACTGTCGAGGAACACAGAGAAAAGGGAGGCAACACGAGTGTAGACATATCGTATAAATATCTGACGTTCTTCCTAGAAGATGAAGAGAGGCTAAATGAGGTATACTCAATCTGAATGTCAATTTATGAGGAACATTGTATTGAATTAGTTTTTTACTGTGTTTTCGTCCGCGTGGTTTATTCACAGACGTTTTGAGCATATAAAGGTTACTATTTATGACGGACTCAGTGGCCTAATAACAAACAATCAGACTGCTCATCTGTTGCAAAGTATATTATTCAAATTTTATCCCATTTTCTTCATCCCTAGTTTGCTGCCGGGCCTAAGCAAAAAGAAAACGGGCGATCACAATAGATCTATGCAGGTTGCAGTGCTACAGGTCTCTTTAGCACCGAGTATTACTCAATGCTAGAGACTTGCCCAAGCCCCTTAATAAAAAAATGGTCAATTATGGGACTCGCAAACCTAGTGAGGAGGAATACTATTATAATTAAAAATTATTGTCTTTCAGATTAAGAAGCAATATGAATCTGGGGAAATGCTAACCGGAGAGTTGAAGAAGGTGGCCATAGAAGCCATTACGCCGTTCGTGCAAGCCTACCAAGCGCGTCGGGCCGCAGTCACTGACGATGTGCTTAAGAAATTCTTCGAGATCAGGCCACTAGAGTTTTAATACCATAGACTATTTTTTATTTTAAAATGCAGTGTATGTTTGGAACGTGAGTGATGTAATTTATAGTTTGTTTTGTATTTATATTTTTAATTTATTATATGAATGATATTTAATTTTATTCATAAAAATCTGAAATATCTGATAGAACTGTCCCAACTAGTGAAGTTAACATCTCTTTCTTTAGAGTTAATAACTTCTTTTGAAGGAAAGTGACAAAATTATTGGATAATTGTTTTTTTTATGGATAGAATTGGATACTGTGTTCTCTAAAATCTAAACTAGCAATTTTGTTTTCAATAATAATTTTAAAATAAGTACTCCGTATATTTATTTGTGTGAAAGTATTGCATAAAAACACATTAAAAAAGGCAAATGTTAAGTGTTTTTTTTGCAAGATTTTTATAGCAGTCAATAATCGGATTTCCTCAAGAAGCCTAAAATTTCTTTAATTCATGTTTCTATATTAAAAACTTACTTAAATATGAAAGAAAAATGTTCAGTAATAATTCACACAGTGTTAAGTCCCAAACTAAGCAGAGCTATGGATAGCAAATAAGTGATAATTAAATATAATTTTTGTAAATGTATATACACATAGAAAACGCTCAGACTAAAAAATTCCAAATCAAATCAGAATATCTTTATTCGTGATATACCTATTACAGATATATCTAATGATGTGACAAACATATACATATTTATGATTACAAATGTTTGTATCATACAAGAATCCAACCGGCCACTATTTTATAGTCGCGGATTCGATTCTCGATAGAATATTAAACATGTGTACATTATAATAATAATGTATACGAACATATAGAGTGATGATGACGCCATCAAGAGGTTTCGAGGTTTGCTTCGTTACATATTATTTCTTATAACATATTTTTTTGTTTCTTATCCCTTTTACCTTCAATGTAAGTAAATCCAAAATGGATTGTACTCTTATTCGAATTCCTTTCACATCGCTAATTTAATAGTAATCCTTACATTAGAAAATCTAAGTTTTAGATTAGTAAAATCGGCTATTATAAAGGTTTTAATATTTTATTCCTCCACCAATTCAAATAACTCCAGTGTTGAATGCTATATAGTTTAGCTAGATAATTTAAAGACTCTTGTTATTTATTTGTGAATGTTTGATAGCCAGATAAGAAAAATGAATTGTTATGCACAAACGAAGTTGAAGTAGAGTGCAGCAAAAAACAGGACAAGAGTCAATGTACCACTGCTGGTCACAGTTCTTCATGTATCTTACACTACCACCCAATTAAATACTACTAAATCTATTTGAGTTGTATTATTAAGGATTATGGTGTTAATTTAAATGAAATATTTTTGTAAGACTAATATATACTTGGTGTCATAAATTCATGCCACACAAAATACAAGCTTAATGTAATACACATCTTACTCGCTTATTAAGCAAGACTTTTGTACAAGTTACATTAATAAAAGACAATGATGATAACAACTATACGAATTGAAATCTTATATTGCATATACACCGCAAACACGCATTTGAAATATTTTTTAAATAATATCTTTGTACCTAAAGAAAATCTCGCATATACTTTGAAGTAAATATCACATGTAATGAGGCATTAAATGTTTTCATTGTGTATGTAAGGCCTTATTTTATGTTACATTAAGGGCTAGGCTGTGCTTTAAGCATAACAGTATTTGTAATAATAAGGAGAATAAAATCTTATGATGAATTTAATGTTTGTTTATTATTATTTATATAAAAAAACATCAAAATAAAACATAATTGACAATGTTTTTTACATAGGCGGCAAACGAACTTGTGGCACATCTTAAGGTAAGTTTTTTTTAAATAATAATGGAATGGTGCTTCTCGCCTGCGCTAACGGTTTACGCTGGCGGGGCACTAGTGAAGGATGGACAACGAGGACAGTCCATCGTGACAAACTCAACAGGAATTTATCATGATGATTTCAAGGGAAACTGCGTGGAGGTCACGCGGACATGGTACATTGCTAGTAAAGTGGTCAACAGTCTACATTGCTAACAATCCCTTTCCCCTTGATAAGTGCCAATGAGCACCCAGAACACTAGGGGAATTGAAAGCGAGTTGCTGGTCTTTTAAGGAGTGGGTGGGGAAGGATATAACGAAGGGACAAGAGGGAGTAGAATAGGTGTTCCAAGCGAAAAGCTATAACATTTAACGCCGGTATACTGTAAGGGTGTTGTATTTCCTGATTCTAACGGGTCCATCCATTTGTGCTGCACTACCACGTGGTTATACAAAGTCTGCTATTTGTATGTATATTTTTGGCTGACTCTTCAGTAATGGAAACACCGTATCAGTGTTTTTATCATCGAAATCAATTAATCACAGAAACGTACTTGGCCCATGGCATATTTGATTTACATAGCTGTCAAGTGTTAAATTCATCTTGATACTTACAAATGACAAGACTTCTATCTATCCCATCTGGAATAATAATTTAATTAGATTTATTATTGATATCCAATTGTCGTAAGGTCGATCCTCGCACAATACGAATACTTGTAGTCAAAACAGACCGTTTGTAGGTAGAGGTCTGATTAGTAGGATCCTATTTGTACCTAATTGTTTGGGAAAAACGAGAGAATGATAAGAATTACAAAAAACACATTTATTCAGCATTACATCAGTAGGTATTAGTAAGGTTTACAATAAATTAAATAAATCGTGGTCTTCTAATACAATCCAATAAATCTAACTAGAATTTATTAGCATGTGAGTATGAAACTTACATGATCAATGCACATTATTAACATAGCTATCTCATATGCTACATTGTCTGCTGATTCTACTCAACATTCAATGCTTGATATTTGCTTTATAATTTTATTTATGATAATGTTAAACCAAAGGATGGTTAAGGCACGCATGATGACTTTGAAATAATAGAAATATTCAAATTCCGTTATTGAGTCGACTCGATAAAATAGTAATTGCCTCAACATTTCATTGGCATCATTCTCTATCTGTCTGCCTCATAAAAACTCATTACAAATATGAGATGATCATAACAAATTTCTACATAGACACGAAAACAATAGATACAACACAAAAGTTTCAAGACAACGGGGTTCTGTGGAGACTAAAAATTGTGAAACACTTGTGTACACATCTCGCGACTTTGATCCAATATACATGACAATAGAACAGAAAAATGGATGACACAGTCCTGAATCGCAACAGGTAGGTGGCACACGGGCTGCATAGAACCTGAGAAGGTCTATAATATTTGTTATAATTTATAATATCCTGTTATAAATTTATCGATATTAATGCAGACATAGAAGTGATTATTTGTAAAGTGTATAAAAACATGTATAATCCAACATATGACGACGAGGCACCAATACCTCTAATAGCTAATTATACAGTCGTGAAAGAAGGAGAGGAAGAAGAGAAGAGGGAGACAGAAGACCGAGTTATTCTAGAAATTGGCCGACAAGACGACAAACCTAAAGAAGAACACACATTTTCGCACAAGAAGTACGATAAAACGATTTCACACCACAGATCCTATGTATTAGAAGATTATGAACCGAGAAGAGTAACATACTTCAGACCTCATGAATTAGAGCATCCAAGTCATGAAGGTAAGCGTTATCAAACATATACTGTTGATTTAATAATAGACATAATAGAGTAGGTATTAGTAGAGGTACCCACGTTGTTAGTGGCGATTATGAACTCATTATTTAGAAATGTCATTATTTAGAAATTTAGTGGTAGGCGACTAAAGATTTAGATATTATAGTCAATTACTAAATCGAATAATAAATAAATGATTAAAATTACAATATATTTTTCATAAACGTATTTACCTGGGTAAGGGCATGTTATTATGTTACATTTAATATCGTCAAACAATCAGGAAGATTTATAAGTCATCTGTGAGTGTCGCATTCGAGCAGCTTGTTTTGTAAGCTGTATTTCGGTTTGAAAGGTGAGACCAGGCAGTGAAATGACGTACGTAACCTGTGTATGACACCTTGAAATATCAAGCCTTGGGGGATACCATAAGCGACATATGCGATGTATATCAGTGCCACTGTTCATGTACCTACATACCAGGCATGGCGTAAGCTTGTTCTATAAAATAAATTATAAAAACATTTCTATTATGGATATAATTACTTCGTACTTTATTTTATGTATTGTATATATGTATGTATTAATAAACTGTATTGTATATTTGTAATTAGTTTGTGTTAATTATTATATTATTATTTATACTCAATATTAGTATGTGCCCAATAGTAGTATTTTACTCTTATTTATATTCTTTGTAATTTACTTCTGGTGCAACAAAGAGTTAATAAATAAATATAAGATCTATGTTAATTATAAATAGTAAGCCTTATTTAAATACATCGTCATAATTTAGAGTTATCACGTCCGCAGGTCCAAGATTTTATGAGCAAGAGTTTAGAGAGAGTGTGGTACAAGACACAGCCAATTCAGAATCGTCATTAGATTTTTCCCACGAGTCCCAGGACACCGGTAAATATGGCGTGGATGATACCGCTCAAGAAACTATTATGAATTGGAAAGAACGGGCGTTACAACTTGAAAAAGGTAAGTAGTTGCTATTTTACACACACAATAGTGTTTTACTTTTATTTTATGATAACTAATCTATTAAGGTAGCCTCTTATTCTTTCTTGGCATGAAAATTCAAAGTAATTCGTACACCTAAACAAAAATTGATTTTATGGCGATTGGATTATTTTTATTAATAGATTACAAACAATTTAATACAATTTAACATTATCAGAGGTAGACTTTATAAAAAGTTAGGTTTACGTACCTTTTCACATAAGAGTTTTGAATTTCTGAGAATGGCAGTAAAATTACAAGGCATAAGGCATAACACCTCAGGAATGGCAGCGTAAAGTATATTTGGTATAACCATACCACATTATAATGTATGATGTCTGTGAAAAAGGAGAATTAGACTTCAGAATTCGACTGTATTAATATGTGTTTATATTAATTTGACCAATTCTAAAACAGATTTTAATGTTTTTTCTACATTTATTAGCGGCATATTTTGGAAATTGGGAGGTATCCTAAGCTTTGTTTTAGAAGCCAGAACATCATCATTATCATCTGCTCCTTTCTTATTAGTAATATGTACTACCAGAAATACTTACACAAATATAAAATAGGTACTTCAGTATCTTCTAAAAATTCCTAAAAATCCTAAAAATTCTTAAAATGTACGAGTGTGGGAGTGTTTCAGAAAGATTCTTTAGTAACTAAAGTACGCGAAAAGCGAGGTAAAATGAAAAATACTGTTACAGAGTATAAGAAGACTGCTTGCGATCGAGAGAGAACAAGGATGAGAGACATGAACCGTGCCTTCGACCTTCTGCGGTCTAAACTGCCGGTCACGAAGCCGTCCAAGAAGAAATACTCAAAGATCGAGTGTCTGAGGTACTATTTTTTATATTAGTCGGAGAATTTATACATAGGTGTCTGAATAGGTAGTAATACTATAAACCGGTATACGAGGCGTAACCTTTTATACAACCCAGCAACTTACACATTGTGTTTTGGTTTCTCACTATAACACAATGTAAATGGGAAAGAAACAGTGTGATGAATATGAATATGAAGATAAGTGCTATTTATGTCTACAAGTGACAATAATAATACATCTTCACGACTGTTATCCGAGATGAGGTAGTCACAGGCATTGTTAACTGTCGTCAACAACTTAATTCTCACATGTCGTCGAGTAAATTCGCTCAGCGGGTACACTGATGTTAAATTGTACAGGATTTCTCTTCACATTTATTTAGATTAGGCGATCTAGGAAACCAAATAGCATGTTCCTTGTAGTGTATTTATGTAGGGACGTATGAATCGATATATATTAAGGTGGTGGGTAGATCTAGACAATTTGTGTTCAGTCGGTATTAAATAACTTGATGAACAGACCTTGCTTTTCGATTAATAGCCTAAAATAATGAACATAAGACTCCCTACCAGTGTTGTGATATTGACCTTAGGGCTTTGTGTAGACTATTTGTTGTTTCAGCTTCCCGCTTTTTATAACTTTGACGTAATTCATATTTCAGGATAGCAATATCGTACATCAGGCAATTGGAATACATGCTGGCAGGTGGTTCCCCAGACAATCCGGCGTTCTTCGAAATACATGTGTCGGATTTGAGAAGACGTCAGTCTAAGTTTTAGCTAGGATTTATGGACAGACAATCCTATACCCGTTAATCTGTAATATTATATTAGCATCGGAGGACTTGTTCTATATGTATTATATAGTTATATTTTTCATAAATATATTACGTAACTAGTGATAGAAGACCGCATGACACATCAAAAGCTAATCAAAACAAAGATTTCGTTATATAATATTCCTAGACTACTCAAACAACGGCATCTAATCCCAAGCTAAGCGGAGCTTGTGTTATGGGTATTAGACAACCGATATACATAATATACATAGAAACACTTAGACCGATACAATCATAATCATGAATACAAATGTTTGTACCGTATGACGAATGGAATTCGTGACCATCGGAAGTAAAGCTCAAAGTAGTCTGAAAGGATACCTCTGTGTTATCTATTTCAACCGCAAAACAGCTTGATTTTTAAGTAGTTGTCGGCAAAAATTGCGAAATTTATGGATGATCCCGAATCACCACGAGAACGTAACAATCTTCCGCAACAGACTTAACAAATACTAACTCAGCCTATATATATAAAATTGTGCCACATTTGTTTTGTTTTACAATGATGTTACAACAGTGACTTATTGATAGCAAACACCTTTTCGCATGAAATCATCCTAATAGACCACCTGTAATGTTGTTTGATCAATCGTCAATACGTTTTCTGACAGCTAGAGGAAGTGTGAGTCGAAATTTGGCTGCAGTCCAAACGGTTTCGCGTACTTAGGGCAAATAATGGGGAAATGTACAGTAGTTGTAAATTTACAGTTTTAAGAAATTTATAGTTCAGCTGACTTAGTCGCGGAAGAATACTAACAGAACTCTGTAACTCTGACATCGGGGCTCCTAGGTACACCATGTGGATTTCTTAATGAGAAAAAATCTCACCCTCTCCTCGCCTTCCATCCAGCGGGATACTGTCTTTGTGAACATTATCCAAGTGTAAAAGTGAAAGAAAGGGTTCAGCTGAAATAGTGCTAATATTCTATATAATTACTTAATACCTATGATGATGAAAGATGAAATATTTTGTTTCAGAAACAAAAAAATCTAATTATTTATGTTTTCGGTTTTACTTAGTTGTACTTATGCACTAAATAATGAAAATCAGGTTAATAAGTCTTTCTATGATCTATTCGTCGACGTTCTATATAATTGGAAACTATTTTGTTTGACTTTATAAGTATTTATATGCTAATCTAAATGGTATCATAGAGGTTGTGACTAGAGCAGGAAAGTTATACGAATATTCAACAAAACCAGGAATAATGAAATATATATGTAAATCTCAAAAGGGCCCGGTACAACAGACAAAAAGTCTAAAACAGGGGTATCAAAATAAAATAAAAATTTGTAGAAAGAATGATAATTAATAAGATTTTGGATTAATGATTGAGCATATAAAATCTTACTGAATATTATGAACGCTAAAGATTGTGTGTATGGATGGATACTTGTTACTCTTTCACGCAAAGATTAGTGAACGGATTTTGATGAACTTTATAGTAATATAGCTTATACATATTAAGTGCAATAAAGTAAAACGTGCAATAACAATTGTTTCCATATTTTATTAATAAATATTAAGCCGTTTGACGTAACAGACAATTTATTTTTATATTTTAATACAAACAATTTGTTCTAATTAACATTGCATTTTTCTTTACAAAAACCTCTCACAGTTACATTTTTGTAAAATTATACTTTAATTTAATTAGAGCAGTTCACAATGGGACTATACAATAACAATCTAGTTTTCTGCATTCTTTATTCATCCATTCTTTTTAATTTTTCTTTCCTTATTTGCTTCTTCTTCCTTCTTTGCTAAAGCTTTTAGATAATCAATATAAGCGCATTTGACCAGTAAAGGCACTTTAACGACTCCTGCAATTAAATTATTGGTTAAATTCGTTGACTTGTTATTAATAATTTTGTATTATAGTAATACTACTATGTATATTAAAATGGATCATTATTATAGATTAATTCTTTTATTATATTAAAATCAAATCAATAGATCAATAGTAATGAAATAATGGTATCTTCATATCAAGAAAAGCGATAGAATTAATTTAGTCCAACCTTTATTACGTTGGAACGCCTGCTCCATCCAATTATTGCACCTTACGTAGGTGTAGACTATCTTTTTTTTCAGGCAAATGAATATTATATTTATAACAATATTGGCCCATATTATATATACCTTAAGGACTAACATATAATTAAAGAAAATAATAAAACAAATATTTTGTAGATACTACAATTATTATGGCTATTTACCAAGGCAGCGCAATTTACAATCCGGACCAAGACTAATCGGTCCGGATGTAGTCGACGAAAGATCCTTTTACTATATTTCTTCCCTCTTTAATTGTCTCTATTTCAATAAGTACTAACCGTATTAGTATGATCTTAAGAATTAATTTCAAACTCACCCGAAAAACAAGAGGTAACGATGTCCTTGTATAAAGAATATGCAGGCGCCAGTAAACTTTCACTGTTTTCTTTTTTCTATAAAAGAAAATGAAATTGCAATCTCAAAAAATGTAAATATTCAATTTCGGAGATGATATTCAATTTTTTTATTTATCGTAGTTTATAGTAACTTATGTAAACAAGAAAATTTGTGATGATTGTTGTTTGTAAAATAGACTCTCTCATCCTAAGACATTGGGTGAGACAGTTGATACGATGAGAGGTTGTCCCACATTTCTTTACTAAATACGATAAGTAATTGTTACAAAATGGACTATTATAAATTATTATTTACATACATAATAATAAAATCACCACCAGGACAACTAATCAAGATATGGACTACTTTTTACCGAGATAGACTATGTACAAATTGTGTGCGCGGATACCCTGTGATCGCATCATCCATTTCAACTGCTAAGCAGCTTGCTTTGTAAAATATATTTCAATGGAAAAGAATGAAAGCAGTGAAATTACATGATTAGGCATGATATCTTATTCCTCCGGAAACGAAACGCATGAGTGGCCCTATAGCATACCTACCTATAAAATATTGATTGGTTTTATTCTAGATTTTGTTTAGTGAACGGTATTTGAGAATCAGTCTTTTTTTTAATCTAAAACGTGAACCTCTCAACATTACAATCTCCAAAATAAATATTTTTTATATAAGAATTTTCAGACAGTGATACAGTTTCGCATCTTATTTTTTAAATAATGTACATATGTGTATATATATAGTCATGTGTGTTGCATACAGGTACGTATGCTGTACAGACTTCAGAGGATGGTAATTGCTTGTATTAAGAGTAAAGTAAAAATGAATTCGTATACATTAGAGTGGAATGTAGAACATCGAAAATAAGCTGTTGAAATTAGTTGTTGGGATGTAACAATTATTAGGGTCAAACAAGTATTTCTCGCGTTACAAAATATCCTTGTACGTAACATTGTCAATAATGTGACCCAATTATACCAGGGCGATAACAGATAGAGGATGTTGTGTACGCCCCCGCCCCGGTACATGGCGCGCAATTTTATTGGATATTTCTTATCCTGTCGCTCTTTACATGCCCCGATAGAAGCGACCAGGGTCACTAGAAGTGACTAGGAGGTCTCATTGACTGGCGAAACGAGGCAGTTTGCAATTTGATAGGGAGCACATTATACGGTTAACGTTAGGGCTCCATCATACGTCTCTGCGGTCGACGCGATGTACAGCGTCCGTTATGTGGATTTTTTAAAATTTTACAAATATGAATGATTGGGATATCAGAGGATTCATGCTCAGCATGTTGTCGCATATAATATGGGACAACACTGGTTATAAAAATTTTAATTAATAAATACTCAATAATTATACAGCTATAATCACACCTTTATACTAATGTAAGCATTTTCACAATTTTATTCTAGTAATGGCAAATATAATTATCAATATTAACGATTGATTATGTGACTTATAGTATTACTTATACAGTATTATATATACTCATTTCATAAATACAGCTTTAAATGAATAACCATGTGGCGCTAACGTTCTGTGACCGCTAACAACCGCGTCGCGGGGTCGTAATGTAACAAAGCCTTTAGTGATCAGAATAAAAAAAACAACAAATCAAACAAGAGATCCAAAATGGCAGACAACTCACGAACGCTGTACGAACGACGTCATTGGAGTGAATGAACAGTGTGCAAAGAACGGCGTCCCTTGTATGCGATTAACGTGCAAATACTAGGCTAACAGAGAGTACAAAAAGTTTCATAGGAATTTGCAAGTGTGTGGATGGTTGATAACTACATGAATGTAAATAAGTGTGAGGTTCTAATGAGAACTTTATGCGAATATCGTTAGAACGCAGTAGCATATATTCACTAGGATTACAGTCTTAAGTATAGTAAAATAGAGGGAGAAAGAGATAATTGATGTAAGAAATTTACAGATCAGCCAATAAGCAATACAACCAAGTTAATGCTGCCGAGATTTCATTCAGAGTAGACGCTTTTTACAGAGCTCCATTATTTCGATATTTCAAATGATCGGCTCGGCCGTCATAAGATAGAGCCTCAGAGTTACTGGGAAACTATAATAGAGCAAGAGATGATTCAAGACCTGGTATGATGGATTGCGTTTAGTCATCGAATACGATGGGTTATTTTATGTTATTTAAAATTGCAAAAAGTACATACCCATATATTTCCAAAAATCAAATATTAACATTTCGGTAATAATTATTTGAATAGTCCCAATTATTGTCGCGACTTCATGCTCGTGTCGAACGGCTTATTGCATATTTTATTAATTTTTATACAATTCCTAGATGGAGAGGGTCGTGTATATATGTAAATATATTTTAATGTTAAATTCTAGTATGAACTCTAATTAAAAGATATCAAATTCCTTTGAAGCTATTTACTTAAAATGATTACGGTCCCCATTCTATGAAGTAGTTAAAATCCAAGGGAACTGAACAAGTGATGACGTAACTGTATACACCAGGATCACATAAGTGTAGTGTAGGTTAAAATAACTCCACAACGCAGATAGTCCGATTCCATTGGATAATTATTATAGATAGCAACAGGTGGATGTATGCTTATCAGGATCTTATTTCGATGTAATAAGGTTGCATTTTTGATGTACGTACAACAACGTTACCACATTTATCGAAGGTGGGCGGTTGTCTAGTGTTAATACTACGAGTATATTCCTGCCAACGACGTATGCATTCTGTCACATCTTGTTGGTCGCCCCATACTCCTTGTGTATACGTGAAGTAAACAGCGCCTACTAGGAGTCCAGCCTGCGAAGAAGAATAGTGATCCGTACAAAATTGATTCCATTATTACTAACAAAGATGAAATGCAAAGGAGGTATTTTATATTAGATATAAAGAAAGATTAAGCGATCAACGCACTGCTATATACGATGATAAACATAAAATCTGTGCCTCTAGTGAGGAAGAGTAGCATGCTAGTTAACCTTTTTCTTTTTTAGATCAAATTAAATAAGAATTTGGTTCACTATCGAATAGTCTAAGAAACGTAACGATATGTTTAAAAACAACAAACAGTAACCATGCAAAACAGGAAAATATCGTATTGCGAAATATAGCTACAATATTTTAAAAAAAAAAGCTACAGAGTGTACACCAAACTAATTAGTAAAGATGGCTAATTCTACTTACTGAAATAAATGAATTAAAATAGTAATAATATAACACAATAATATATAAATAAAAGATAATAATATAATATATATAATTTTTTTTTATGTCCGGTTATGGCTGATTTTTTTTTTATCTTATTGCCTTCGTAGAAATTTGATCAGTAGGTACCGGTTTAGTAGTTTATTTTACGCAACAAGTTTCATACGATTTTCACTATACTTTTGATATTTTTTTTTTCGGAAGGTTAACAATAATTTGAATAAGAAATGCACGTTCCACGACTTCCATCACGTTCTCTATGCACCCGTGGGAAGCCGAGGTAGGCTACTAGTTTATTTAGGAATAGAATTGAAAATTCTTTATTCAAATAAACTTAAATTTAAACACTTTAGTAATATTTTTATCTATTGCTCATTCGTTTAAACCTGTCTCATCACAAGAAGAATGAGAAAGAATCTTCGTGTTGCTCTTTTAAATAATTGTTGTAACTTTACATTTTTAAGTTGAAATGTGGGAATACAAACTACCAATTAGCACTAATTCAATAATCAATTATTGTAGTCACTAGAGCAGACCAGTCCTTATAAGATCCTCAAAATAATCTATATCAGCTATCAAGTAGTTTGCTTTGTAAGTTGTGATTCGATTAAAAGGCATAAGACGGTAAAATTACAGGACATGAAGGCAAAACGTCTGTCTTACTGAATGGCAATTACACCAGTAATACATTGCCATTCAGGAAGACATACGTTTAATACCTGCTATACCATTGGTATAGCAGGCATGACATGATAACGTGATATCTATAATGCTGTTCATATATATAAGCGAAGGTTACCATTTGCCATCAGGTGGTCCGTCTACTATTTGCCATTACAAATACACAAAAAAAGTAATAATAATATATGTACCTATATTACTATACTTACTTTGATAGCGTACATTAATTTCCCATGCGCGTATGGCAATGGCAGTTTAGGCATGGTCAGTGGTTTCCCGCTCTTTCTAAGCTTGTACTCCTCTTTGCTGCACACCTTGATACACGTTGGATTCAGTGCGAGTTCTAGGAGAAATTTATAGGTATTAAGAAAGGCAACACACGGTACATACCACGGTAGTCACTGCTTCATTGCACAGATAATGTAATAACATACTATTAGAGAAAATACTAATATCTAATATTATAATCTGTGCTTATATCAATGGGCATAGGGTTTATTTTAAATACATACCTAGCGTTAATAATTATCTAATTAACTGTTAAATTTATATTCGATAATAGAACATTTATATCTACAGACAGGGATACCTATTACAATCTTCTTTAAATGTATTCTACGTCACAGTGTAAAACTCATACTTTTGAACTCAAGAAATAACCTTTAGGTTTTAGGTGGATTTTTGACTTCAATAGGTAGATTCTTATATTTATAACAGGTATAATAATGGCCTACTCTCCAATAAACGAAATCTTTTTAGGAAGGTTGTTTTGAGATCGAAGAAACTGATACTCATTCATACAAATTCTCAGGACAGCGAGGTCATTGAGAAATCAACAAAGATAGCAGGAACCTTCTGTGCTTCCTGAAGCAAGCCTATATAATAATAACTATATAATAACTCCGACTATAAACGAAATGCTTTTTACGAAAGGTTCGTTTTACATTTACAATAGAAACTGATATTCATGGACTTGTCTATAAATTGCGTACCGAATATTTTACTTTCTGTATGTTATTTTACTTTTAAAACACAATGTAGAGTCATAGAGTGACTCTCCTTTGTAGATTACTAATTACCTAGTACCAAGCTTACGATACTAGAAACAAAATATTTTTGTGTTAATAATCAACTTAACTTTTTTTCAGCACGGCATATTTGTAGGAAATTACATGCAAAGATTCATTCCGAAGGTTATGTCCTTATGCAAGGATTATGCAAGCCCGCGTGAAATGAAACAAAACAAATTTTGCGTAAAACCGTGTAAACTTTTCTTTTTTTCGAAACATTACAGATTGTTTTACATAAATTCAATTTTGGTTTAATAAATCTCAATATACTTATATAATATCGTGTTCATTGCTCTGTGGTTACTACTTATTTATTGATTAATTATTCTATAAAATCCTATAGAATAATTAAGAAATAATAATATAGGATTTTGAGTAGGTTTCTATATTGTTAATTCAGGAGGTTGTAGAAAGCAAAAAGTTTTGATTCAATTTAAATTTTAATTACCTAATAATTATTTTTATTATTTCATTATTTAATTACGTTTATGTATCGTATCGGGTTCTGGTAAAAGTGATGTACGTAAGGCGTTACATAATTTGTAATAAACACTAGGGCATTAGCAATGTGAGGTGGCTGTTACAACGAAAATGTAGGGTATTGTTACAGATATGATTCATTCATGAATACGAGATACCGTAAATTGTAATAATGACATTGTAATATTTATGTAAGTATGCACATTATGTTTTTACCTCTATTTATGTAGATTACAGATTATGCATAATTTACAAGTTGCTATTTGATACTGCTCATGACTTTTCTATATTTAAATTCGTAATGGTCAAGAAATTTTGTGTTTGGTTTTGTTTATGCTTAATATTTTATATATTCATTTAGCAAATTTGATAGACTATTTTTTATTCATATGTGTTACCTACTTCCAGAGGTTTTACCTGGCCGAGACCAAATGTTAGCGTTATCATATCCCAGTAGTCATAGTATCCTAGTACTTGTCTGTGTATTCACTACTATCATCCGTTGAACTTAGAGCTGTATTTTACGGAGCTCTATGTAATGTAGGTAATTTTTTATGTAATTTAATGGCAAATGAACATCAACAAGAACAATACTATGTATTATATATAACTAACACGTTATCACGTGACACCCATGATACCATTCATACATTGCCATTCCGAAGGACTAAGCCTGTAATTTTCTGCATGTACAATTTACATGTACTTATTAAGACTTATTAATTGACAGTGGATTGACAGCGGTCACTGACTCGCCCCATGTTATCTGGTCTAGTGCTTTTAAAATAGCATTCAAGTATGATAAATGTGTTCATATGTTACTTGTTTTGTTGATGATTCATAATTTACAATACAGTGGTCATCTGCGGGCCAAATAATCGAAAGTCTGACGTCTGTCGTCGGTTTCATAATTAATTGCCGTTTCCTTTAAGTTTGTGATTAATGTTGTCTTGATGTCCCTTGATATGTTTATAAATACATTAAATATACTTTCATGTTTTGTATCCTAGATAAGGTAATTGCAGATATACGACGTTGGGGTCAACACAAACATGGCTTTATGGCTATATTTGAATGTGTGATAGAAGGTGAGCCTACCGCCATCTCTCGGAATAATTTTGCCATTAGTATTTTAATAAGTTGAAATGAAAGCAAGAAGATACATACCATTTAGCTTTATCCCATTGAGGGGTAGATCCCCCAGAAGATGGCGGGGCAAAAGGGCTTAGAACATAGTTGGGTGCAGAAGACCCGAGGTCGTAGTTCGATTAGTCAGTGAATCTATATTTTTGTATATTATTTATAGCTTAAAGCAAAGTGCCTATTTTCGTCGATGTTGTTACTTTTGTTGCATATTTTTACAAACCAAGTAACGGATTTTGATACAGTTTATACCTCAGATATATATAGATATATAATGTTTTCCAATATCCTTTTGAGATTTTCTTCTGGAAGGTTTACTTCTATAATAATGTGTATAATTCAACAACTTCTGTCACCGACACTGCACAGCTGTGCGAAGGCAAGGGCTGGTTGCTAGATATATTAAAGAAGATGAACCTGGAATGCGTGAACAGTCCACTCTCTCCGCTGGACTGCATTTCTCGTAAATTTGCATGTCTGGTTTGGGATGCTTCACATGTTTTGCCAAATTGATGGTACGGCACGCTTCGCATCTTATGCGATCCGTTTTCAAATTATCACACATATCCGATTTTTATTTTTACACACAAATTACTTTAAAAACTAAAATAACCAACTACAGATTTTGAACAAAATACCCAAAAATAATTTAAATCATAAAAGCAGAAACTACATATTTGACAGAATTTTCTTTGGCAATTTACAATTGATATTTTCTTAAAAGAACGACGTAGGTATTATATGCAGAATTGAAGCTTTTTAAAAATATTCTACTTACAACTTAAATACTCCTTGTATTTTGATCATTTAGAAGACTCTTGGAAAACGCAGTTCTAAATCAGAAAAAAAAATAACCATTCAGTGTTCTTATATAATGGGCTACTACATTGTAATGTAGTTATCGCAGTAGGTACTTTCTTTTCATGATTCATGACCTACTTGAATAACTAATGATATCTGCAGCCGAAATATAAAAAAATGTATTATATTATCACATCATATTTTTTGTACCTAAAAACACACTCTATAAAAGGAGAGCTTAATTTGAATTTAAAAATTATTACACTTATTTAATAATAAGGCTGTTTACGAAATAGTTTCATGATACACTACACATATATAGAATATAATGATAATGAATGATATAAGGTAAAAATAATAATAAAATTTCTAACAGAATATACGTTAATCATTGTCGATGTCTCAGGAATTACGCACTAAAATTTGAAGGTCGACTCGAGGGAGTACAGGTAATATGGAATATTGACCCTATTGCTTTCAATGTAATCGCTATGCCTGGAAACAATTTTAGTTAATTTTAAATTTGCAACGTAAGGCTAACTGACCTGACTTCATTCTCATTCTATCATTCTACACTGATATCTAGCGTATATCGTTAGCGTAGGCGAGAGCACCACTCTACATTGATTAAAAAAGTCTAGACTCACTATCTAGGTATATAAACTAACTTTTTCTTTACGTTATATTTCTCTCAATTACTAAATGCCATTCCGAAGAACTAAGATGTTAAACCTGCGTACCCCGTAATTTCACTGTTATATCCCTTAACTTTCAACCGTAAATGCGTACCTTATAATTTCACTGCTTAATATACCCAACCTCCCAATGGAAAAACAGCAAAGCAAGAGACTTGGAGACTGAAATAGGTTCGAACCTTGGCTCAGGCCGTTGGAATTTCGATCCCCGTGTGAATTGACGGGCCGATAGGACGGATACGAGTAGCAGCAACGGTTCAGATGTCCTACAGAAGAGTACTAGAGCTATCCCAAAGATATATGAGTAGCGTAGTAGCATCGTGACAACTGACGGATGCAGATATGCGGGAGATACGCCCACCCATTGTATCCGTTTCATTGTGCAACTGTGTGTTTCCTCGACTTGCCTAGTAGGTACCAGATAAGGACCAGTTGCGAAATTGCCAAATTTCGCCCTTGTTCGCATGCCACGTTGAACTATTATTAGAAAATAGTCACTAGTATGTATAACTATGATAATATATTTGATTAGTTATCCCGGTTGACAACAGTTCTGTACACCCACGTAGTTTTTTTTACTAATAAGGAATATTAGGCGAATGGTAATCAGCTACGATGGAACTAGATGAATTGCTTGCTTTACCACATGAATTCTTATAATATAATATGAAAATACAATAATTTCAACAACAGTAATGATTTTTCTATAATTTCTGTTCATTACATAAATATCGTTACAACTTTTAAAATAATTAAAACTGCACAAATTTTACGATTTTATATTCGCATAAATTTTACTATTTTATTATATATATTACTATTTTTATTATAATATATATTAATATAGTTACAATGAACTGCACAGCTTATAAATGGATATGTAGACGCAAACTAATACTTCATTTACTCCATTCTGAGCACGTGTTAAGACGAGATCAGATTGACAAAATATAAAAACACAATAAAATCACATATGTAATTTATGTACACGCAAGTTGACGCCTAGCTACGTCAAGTTATATTTTTATCAATTTTATATTGCAAATATTTAATTAATTATTAATAGAGCTGACTTCATATTCTAAAACATTATTTATTCAATTTTTTTATTGTTTAACACTAAGCAAAACTTGTCACAAATTCAAATAGACCTACAGATAAGGTGAATGTAACAAATACTAAACTAATACATCAACAATCGCATTTGTAACGACAGATATGTAAGTACTTCAGATGTGTCAAACCCATTCAAATGTCATTGAAATGTAGAGCTTTGTGAAGCTTCTCCCCATTGAGTGGCGGTTTTCATGAATGACGATGGTGGGGATGCGAGGATGGGTGCGCGCCGGTTGCACACCGTCTGGAGGCTGCGTGTCAGACGCAGTCCACTTGCCAGTGTCGCGTCTGCGCGTTCACGGCCCGCTTCTGCTGAAGCGGGAAATTCGAATTCGGAACTTCTTATTTTTTTCTTCATACCGTTTATTTTTTATATCTATTTCGATTGTGGCTGACTGTTCTTTTAGTGTCTGTTCTGTGCTTAATTCTTCTGTTGCGGATAGATCACTTGGCATGCTGCAGTAGATATGGGGCTTTATAGCTTAAGGTAAGTGCATAGTTAATTTTTATTTGAATTTTGAAATAAGTTAATACTCACTGTAATGTATAAAACTTCCTATTTCTTTTTAATGTAAACAAATGTATGCGCCTTCCTTAATTACTTTTTATTTTAATAATAAAACTTGTATTTTTTTACATTGGAAGGGATTTTTTTATTGCAACATGATGATATCATGTCGTAATTTAAAAAAAACCCTTATGTCATATTAACAATTATGAAATGACTTTTTAAAACTGTTCCACGTTGCCCCATTTATAGAAATATTAAAAAATCTACTCCATAATGGACCAAGTGGTCCAATGGAATTGCAGAAGTGTACTTAGCAAAAAAAGTGATTAAATTAATTTAATAAATAAATATCAACAACCCCTTGTTATTGCACTAACTGAAACTTTTCTTTAATAATATCTGTGAATGTGGAGAAGATGTGGGTGATTTAAATCACACTGTCTTTTCCTGTTCCTCTCACAATAGTACTATATTTATAGAGATGCTTTTACATATAATAAAAAAAATACGTAATATATCTGTTGATATTTTTGCCTTTTATGTTAAAACTTCCAATCTATGAACGATTCAATCTCTTTAAAAACGAGTGAAGAACCCTTTTCTATTATTATATTTTATTACCCAGCCTAAGTTTCAATAATTACGTCGACTTCGAACTATGCGTTTCTGAATATATAATGTGTTCACACAAAATCATCTAAATATTTAAATATATAAAAAGTAAGTGTTGTTGTTTGTCACAACATTTATTAGACACTAAAGTTTTCTCTATACAAAAACATATAATAAAATTTAATAGAAAATACAATATATGAAATAGGAAACTATATGGCCAGTACGTCAGCAACAGTAAGAATAATTTATTTTTTTACATGATTTCCATACCAACTTACATACTTTATACCGCAAGCGTCATATTGTTATTTGTGATGTTTGAGGTGTTATTTGCCTATCTCCATTAGATTGGTCCAATGAGAAACTAATTATAATTACTTTAATAATATTTGTATTTTCACTAAGTAGGTAATATATCTTAGGAATGATACTAATCGCTAAAAAGCATTGAACCAACTCGTAATGAAATTCATGTAAGTACGTGGTTTTGTTTATTAAGTTCAATATTATTGCGATTAATTTGCATCTACATATATAATAATACTTAACAATATAATACACAACAATATACTTATTGTTTATCAAAATATTCGAATGATTACCTTTGTAATTAAGGAAGCAATTATTTGAAATACTGATAAATTGCAATGAATAATTGATTAGGCGTTAAGTTCTTGAATTGAAAAGATACTCAACATAGTATAAATATTTGATTGGATTGAAAATGAACTTACAACGGAAAGGAATGATTTCAATAAAAAAGTATTTACAAATAAACTACAGGATTTACCAACTTTGGTTCCAAAAGCTTGTGGAAATTATTTGATGTTTTAAAATAAAATTGATTGAAAACTCATATTTGAAATGTAATAAGAAAATAACAGTTTCTACATTTGATTATTTCGAATAACTTTATTAAGTAACTTAATTTACAAATTAAATTTTTAAAGCGGTTACGTGTCAATAAACTTTACCAGCTTTAACTAACCGTTCTTAAAAGTCTTGCAAGATTATTAAATTGTTGTTTGCAATTTAGCAATACTGCACTTGCGATCAAAATCTTTCGCAAATTGGTGTATGTCAAGTTTCAAACAGGGCCAAAGAACTTGACCAGAGAAGGGTGCGGGCGGCAGAGGGGGCGGTCGTAAACCCGCGCACGAACAGGACTGGATATTCTGACAAAAAAAATAAAGAAAGAGGCGAGATTAAAACTAAGACTATTGTTCCTTTAACCCGCATCCCGCCGATTCGAACGTAGAATATCTATCTCGTTTGGTTCATGCATAAATTCATTCCCTCTTTTGTAGAAGGCTTGTATAATTAAACGCTTAGAAGGTTTAGATAAGAAATGAAAAGCCTCTTATTAATATGACAATCTAAATAGCATGCTTTTGCTGCGGAATAAGGTATTGTTTTCATTGTGCACACATTGTTTGTTTTTCATGTTTTTGCAAACAGTAGCGTTAGGATGTTGCGCACGCGATTTCTTTGAAATTTCGCTTTCAATTTGAGTTGGACTTGTTTGTTTTTTGTCGAGCGTCCCGTTCGGTGACTTTCTTTGAAGGATTTTGGTGTACACTATAACGCTAACGTTAAGATGTTTATGTATTTAGGTGTGTTCTTTTAAAAGTAATTCTTCATGATTTTACTTTACATTTACCGCCCAACCAATTATCTATTTTTTTATATCTAAGTATTATCTTTATATATGTTTATAAGTCTTTATTACTATGGCGGAATTTTGAAATCATGATTGAAAAGTAGCACAACATTATTGTAATATAACTATACATTTTAGACAAATAATAAACCAGATATTTAGTAATTAGCAGTAGTAGATCCAAGTTACTGTGTATTGTGTATTACTTTGTACCATCAGATGGGCTATTTGCTTGATCGCCACGGTGGTATAAAAATACGTAATGTAGGTGACTAATAAAAATATGAACAGACGATATTAAAAAAGTTATTGGCATTTTTAGTGCGAAACTATAGAAATCTAAACTGAATTTTAAAGGTGTCTGTGTTAACCTTAGAAATAGAAATAGTCTAGCCATAAATACAATACGACTGGACTGTACAGCTCGTAACACTTAAAACTTCATTTCGTAATATGCGGTGCACAAAATCGTCATCATAATAGACCGGTCATTCGCCTAAATGAAACGGTAACGGTCTCAAATTATGGTCACGTACAAATGGAGATGTCAATTTTATACAAGGCCTCAGTGACAATTCTGGATTTTACATACCAGATTCAGTTACTACGCGTCTTTATGATCTCTACACAGAATCTTATAATATAATTATATTTTATTGGAATTTAATAATTTTTTTCACATATTTTATGTGAACATAATGGCGAAATATTAATTAATTAAATCCACATAAATTATTATTATTAGTCCACTATTATTATTTACTATTTTATTTAATCTAATAATAATTTCCCATATAAAACTAAAGTTTTAATAGATTCCAGATAATAGGTATACATAAGTTACGATCTAGTATCTCTGAACAAAATAATACCGGTAGACGCGTTGACTGTTTCGCGCGCTATCTTGTCCGTCAAGACTGTCTGTAAGCACTAGATTTTAGTATTTACGTACCTCCTTCTCGTCATGCTGCTCTGGTACTTCTAGGTACAAACGAGATGTGGTCTAGACTTAATGACGTAACGGAGTCTTACAGAAATGCTGAGTATGTGTATTTATTTATTTATTATTTACTAGCTGCCCCGCGCAACTTCGTCTGCATCACACTTACTTAACGTTTATCACTATATTTCGCCCATTTTATATAATATATTTTTAAATGATAGCCTATATGTTATACTGATGCATAAGATATATTACTGTAAAGTTTTATCAAAATCCGTTCAGTAGTTTTTGGGTGGAAGCGTAGCAATAATCCATACTTACAAACTTTCGCGTTTCTAAAATTATTAAGATTAAGAAGACTGTATCAATTTTAAAAACCGCTAAATTCTTCTATTCATATTAAATATTGACTGATAGAAAATACTTCTAGAATAATTTCCGTGTACACAAATATGCATATTTGTTTACTTATAAGCACATTATGAAAGTGCATCGTCACAAAGATTGACTTGATTAAACCTTATTGACCAAATACAAAATCCGGAATTAATACAAAAAATAATGATAATTTACAATTATAACTTGTATATAGCCATTATATAAATATTACAATACGTTTATTAAAACCTAAATGTATATATAATATACTGATTATCTATTTAAATTATTTATGCTTAGAACATGAAGGAATTATATGGATTTCTCGTGTAACTTACACGAGATTACTTCATAATTAAGTTATAACATAAACCTGATTACATCGTGGATTTAATTTTAAAATACTGTAGCTACGTTAACTGGTTACTTGCTACTCACAGAATGTGTGGAATCTTAAAATCTTACATTTCTTTTGTAATATACTCGTACAGTAGTCGTTAATGTTTAAGTCTATCATCAAGTGAATAAACTACGGAATTCTGGGTATTAAAGATATCGGCCAAACATTTCGAGGATGTTTAGAATAAAAGCGGTAACTGTCTGTAATTTGTATCTACCTAGTTAGCACAAACAGATTCTAAAATAAACCTAAGTATATAAAAAATTGATTGTTTATCTTAATCTTTGTGTGCTTATTTTAGAATTTGCGTGGGTGCAGTACAGGAGGGGAATAAAATTAAACGATTATGTTGCAGGATTATTAACTACGACTTTCGCTTTATGACATAAAAGGTATTCTACTTTTTATCATAAATATACAATTTATCGTCACGTCATTTATTAATAACCTTTTAATTGTTTAGTGGTAATTAAATTAAAAGAACTATTATTAAGAACTTAATGAAATTTATTGTATTTCTGGCTGTTTATTACAATTTTTATAATGTTAATAATATGTATGGATAGAAAAGTAAGATGTGTAACTCGTTCATTTTCAAGTTCATTTTCTAATCAAACATACAGCAATATTTCTAGGTATATTAAAACTGTAAGTCGAGTTAAAAAATGAATTTATTTACTTTCTTATGTAATCAATTTCTGCGTTAACTTTTTATAAACTTCAAATAACAAAAATGAAATTATCATAAAATTTTATTATTATTATTATTTGAAGCAATAATAATTATTCTATCATAATTAAATAATAATGTCGATTGATATTTGATTGAGTGGGGAATGATAAAGTTGTAAGCATGCTAAATCTAAAAAGTTGAATGAAATCGATTGTCGTGGTTCAGTTTATGGATGACTATGGTAAATAAGGATTATTTTTAAACATATGTAGATTATATGGAGTTAAGTCCACGAGCGTACGTAGAT